AACCTTGAAATGTGATATATTGCCTGGCAATATGTGTCTTCAGGTTGAGTAGATGCAAGCCTGTATTTGAAAAATAACGTCTTTGGAATAGAGCTAATCAGGTAATTAATTTGGGCTAGATCTGAATAGTTACAGCTGGCCTTTCATAGGCACAGAAATGCAGATGCACTGTGATTTCTCAACTCACCTTCTTTCTTTTTTTAACCCTTAAGGTGCTGACAGCAGTGTGAGCTGTGTATTTTATGCTGAAGTCAGAAAGTTTTACTTTGACCATAAGGCAAATAAAGTGAATATCAAATCCTATTTGTCTTTTCCCATCCTCAGATGCCAGACTGTCTTCATCAAGCTTGATGCCTTCCCATTCAATCCGATCGTATTCCCATTCCTGCAGCCTGTCTTTCAGTGTTTCTTTTTCAGAGACATAGTCTGTAAAACTGTAGGTCATGATTGAGTAATACATTGGTCTTGGTAGCAAAGCTTGGCTTTCCTTCTATTTCCTGCCTTAATGTCATGGTGTGCTGCCCTGTTAGTTGATAAAGTTATTTCTGAGTACTTACTTAGTATAAACCAGATTATTGAAATTATCTGTGTTAAAAATATTTTTTTTTAAAGTGTCATATCTAATCTCTGTTACTTTGGCAATATGTTGTGTAACATGATACCACAAACAGGGGGATCAATACAGCTGGGACTAGGAAAGGTATGAACTGTATGACGTAGACAAGAACCGGGAGTAGGAGGCAGGAACCTCCTGACCTGTTGATACTGCTGATGTGAATGTAGTGTGCAGCTAACACCCATAGAAAGGGTGACGTGTCAACCTATTAGAAGTCCTTCATCGTGGGAAGGAGCCCAGGATTGTGTGCCCTAATACAGTCTGTTCTTTACCTAGTCCTAGCTTTAAGTGGGTTAAGAGTGACATGTATGAAACAGCACAACTGACAAGATAACTTTCTAGGGAGAGCTGCGCTGTTTTAACACTCCCTATTGAAGTCTGGTATCTCTGTTGTGATCACATATAGTGCAGTATTTCTTTGCCTGTTTACCTTCATCTGAAGACCTTGCAGTTGATTGGGATGTTTTTCTCTTCCTTCTTTAGGTCTCCGGGTGAATGGGGAGCTCATTACTGCTTACCCACAAGTGGTGGTTGTGCGTGTACCAACACCTTGGGTCCAGAGTGACAGCGATATCACAGTCCTTCGCCACCTAGAGAAGATGGGCTGTCGATTGATGAATCGTCCCCAAGCCATCCTCAACTGTGTCAACAAGTTCTGGACGTTTCAAGAACTTGCTGGTCACGGTGTGCCTCTTCCAGACACTTTCTCATATGGTAAGGCTTTTGGATCAAAAGGATAGCATAGTTGCCTACCATAATTTATGCTTTTGCAGTGCAAAAGATATGAGTCAAGTTTTGGAAATCCAGAGAATTAAGTAGCATGAGGCTAGCTCCACAGATAAGTGTTCAGTAACCAGAAAAGGAAATTAAAGTCACAACACTCAGATTCTGTTTTTGGCTTTGTTGATTAGCTGTGATGCTTTGGGAAGAGTACCTCAGCCTCCCAAGCAACTAACTTTGGTTGTTACTACTAAAACACTTTGAACTCTTTTCCAGTTGCCTGAAACAACAGACAAGAACTTGGGGAACTAAATGTCATAGGATACTATAAAGATCTAGACTTTGGTAATACCTGAAAGTAGATGAAACTTCTATATGAATAAAAATATCTGCAAATATATTAGTTATTGTGAAAGGACAAAAAGAGTACAGGCCCTCGTGTTCAACTTCTAACAATTGCTTGGTGTTTGTTTCCCACCAGAACAGTTAATTATTGATGTTTCTTGTGCCTGCTTCTGGAGTCCGTGGTTCCTGACAGAGTGCTAGATTAGAGGAACCATTTGTCTGAGCTACCCTGATGCTATTTCTGGTTTTAATTACAATACATTAAAGAATTGGAGATACCTCTCAGCCTTCCTTTCCTTCTTGGGAAATACCAGTGCTTTCCTCCCCTTTGTGTGGTTGCACCAATAGGCTTTTGTAATGGGAACTTGACAAAGACAGACAAACTTGACAAACACAAAACCATGGGTTTCCATAAATTACTATGAATTACTATTTTTTCCATCAATTACTGTGAAAACACATTTGAGAAGAAACATACCCTTTCTTTATAGATGTGGTTGCTCTAGCTCTTTGAGAAAGGAATGAGTTTTTAATTTTTTGGAGGGGAATGGGAGACCACGAATGATGGGGTAATTGCAGAACATCTCTGTTTGTTCGTAACTCTCTGCCACTTGTTTTAATGCCTGCCTGTGGAATTTGACAGAAGCATGACCTTTTTTTTTTTCTTTCTTTTTTTTTTTTTAACACAAGTATCAAGTAGTCAGTGAGAGCTGGCTTTGCCAAGAAAAACAGGATGTGCTGAATGACATGTTATTCCATGACACGCATTAAAATCCATGGCAGGGTAGTGATGGCTGCTGCTGGCTTTGTGACCAGTGTCTTGGCTTGACTTCTGCGATGTACTGCACATGCTGTTAGAGGAGTCTCATCCCTTTGTCTGCTGACTTTCTCTTCTGTATTTCTTGTACTGTGGTCAGCCTTCTGTGAATTGAAATGAACTCAAATAACCTTGAAATATCAACCATAATCATGTGAATGGTCATTAAAAGCTACTCTCTAAGGTCCTTACAGATGCAATGAGATGAAAAGGTTGAAGTACTACTTCAGGAAATAGGGACAATGAGATGCAGGAGACTGAAGCCTTGGAAAGGGGGGAGGTGGAGTGACAAGATTTGGGTTGTTGCTGCTCTCTGGATTATGCCTTGTCTTTGTATTCCATGTTGCTTTCCTGGTTAGTGGTTTGGATGGAACTGTTACTGGTGTAACGTCTGTGTTATTTTCCTGCTAGACATTTGAAAAGGTGGGAGTTAATAAAAGTAAAAGGGATAAAATGGAACAAGATGGTAGAATCGGGGCATTCAGATTTGGAAGATTGGATTGAGCCTTCTGGGGTTGTGATCAAGAGGCCTTTGTCAACTTGTGTCTTCCATTTCAAAAGAAGTAGGAGTTAGTATCCCACAGATTACAAACACTTCCAAAGTCTGATCATGCTCCATGACCAAGTTCCTCTTAACTGATAGTTTTTTCTGCATTATCTAAGCTGTAAGGGTGGGAGGAATGTGTGGCAATTACATCCCCAATTTGGCCACATCAGATTGGTGGCACATAATGTTGTTGGTTTTCTTTTTGCCAGGTGGTCATGAGAATTTTGCCAAAATGATTGATGAGGCGGAAGTGCTGGAGTTCCCTATGGTGGTGAAGAACACGCGGGGTCACCGAGGTGGGTGTGAGGTCAGGGGTAAGGGCAAGGAGTATTCTGAGCAGCACTCTTAAGATTTTGTCTCATCAAGGGATGATAGTTAAGAAGGTCTTGTATTAGGTGTTGGACTTCCTTGCGGTACATCTGAATTCTACCACACTTCAACTTCTGAATGTTGAGTAGGCTGCAGTGTTGGGAAGCAGTTTTAGTAGAACCTAGTCTTGCAATAGCAGGGGGGATAGGGGTTCAAAATTACGGTGCATTGGTGACTTCTGTGATTTGAGCTTTGAACTGGAATAATGGAAGGTCTGGCCTTAGGGAGGTAGAGGGAAGCCTACATGGATTTTAGGGATGTTTCTAAGTGGGCATAAGAAATGAAATCTTAGTTCGTACAGTCTTAATTTGACTTTTCCTACTTGACTTTGTCTATAATTAGGATTCTGACTTAAATAAAATCCCATGTATTGTTTGACAAACTAGATCTGTTTTTCAGAAAAATACCTCTGACAGTGCTGGTGATAATACAGCAGGTTGAGATTAAATTGTTCTGTTATCAGTCTTTTAAGTGTTGAATACGAAACAATACATCAATTTTGTTTAATGTTAGATGGTGATTTACTAAAGGAAACCAGGTTTAAAATCAATTTCAGAGGTTATTTACAGAGGAGGTTGCACTGTTCTTAATTTACTTTAAAACCAATTTAATAAATACTAGAAGTAAAAAGAGACTGAAACCAAAGTTTAAGCACATAAACCAGCAGTTACCTTAAACAAAAGCATAACAAAAATATATGACTTCTTCCTTCTTATTGTCCATCAGTTTGTTCCCACTCTGTGCTGCTCTGGTGCATCTGTTCTGCTGGCTTGAGTGTTTCTGTAGCCATGTAGTAAATGGATTCAGGAACTGATGTTGGATGAGTCTAGATGGGTTATTTTTACTTGGATTAATTCCTTACATGAATTATCATTTACTCGCACAAATGCTTGTGTTGATGTAATGGAAGAGCGAGAGAAAAAGACTGGGGCAGAGGAAGATCAGACCTGCTTGTGTTGGCAGTAATATCTTTTTATAGGGTTTTAAAGTGGTTGTGGAGCTACGAAGCCAAGTTGGAGTTTGACTTTGCAGCAAGCTGAATTTGACAGCTGTGGAGTATCTGAGACAGTGGATTTGTCTTGACACTGCCTCTTGTTAATATCTACTAAATAATTACAGAGCTTGCAGCTATTCACTTTCTTCTCCCCTTTTTAGCCAGAATTCATATAAATATATTTTTACAAGTTTTGCTTTATAGCACTTTAAATTCCAGGCATTTTAATGCAAATTTATGAATGGTACATATCCTTTCGGATAAAGACAGTTGGGGAAACTTCTTCAAACTAATTGAAGAGCAGCCATTTGCAAATTGTATTAAAAAAAACAGGCAAACATAGGTACTGGCTGATGAATAAAAGTCATACTCTTCTAGGCCCATTTTCTGTGTAGTTTGCTGCTTCAGCAAATGTGCCAATCTTACTTTTGCCAAGATGTTATGATGCTGCATAATTCCCAAGAACTAAGTAGTTCCTCTCCATGGCGTCATTCTTCCTATCCCATTTTAGGATTACAGTAGGATTATCAAGTGCCTGTAGGAGAGCTAACGTTGGGAATGGGAGAAAGCACGTGGAGGTTTTTGCTTTCTTGTCATGATTTTTAAGCCTACATTCTGATACTCTGTGATGAGAAACTCCATGTTCCTCAAGCTGTGTTCTGTGTTACGGAGACCTTAAATCCTGATGAAGCAGAGGCTCTCCAGTTGGGCTTTGGAGCACTTGGTGGAATTCTTCTTCACACATTATTTCTCCTAGTTCTGCTAACTGCTGCATTTCTGTTCCCTTAGTTAAGATAGGCAGTTTATCAATTGATGTTTGTACTCTGTTAACATTGTAGCCTAATTGAGTGACAATTCTGCCACAAAAAAAATTGTGCAGCCTTATTGCAAAACATAAATCTAATATGACACATAGAAGAGTCCTTAAGAAAGGGGAAGGGGAGTTGGGAAATGTAGCTAAAGATGGAAAGGGATGCCATCTTGTGAGACTAGAAATGAGATGGAAAGTGGTAGAGTCTGATTCAGGAGTGACTTTGATCAGTATTAGTAAAATTGGAAAAGAACAAAGAAGGTTTTGGTGTGCTCTAGAAATGAAGGGGAATGAAATGACATGTTTTAGGTTAAACAAAACCAAGTCCTTGAGATGTTTGCTTTGGAGAAAAGCTAGTGGTTTCTAAAGAATTTTTTTCAAAATTGTAGTACATTCCATTCATTTTATGTCTTGTTGGAATCTTCTGCTAAATTATCTTGGATACTCTGTGGAGTCTGGTGTTTTCCTCTGAACGTAGTTGTTCCACTGCAAAGCCTCATTCTGGAGTTGTGAGCTCTTGTAAGTATTGGGAAGAGCAGCTCTCAGCAACTTCCCAATGGGGAAGCAGTTGGTTCTGCAGTGGCACGCTAGCGACTTCAGAGTTCTTAGCTGCCTGGTGTTTAACAGTTTCATGTCATTGGTTCCTGTGAGTCAAAGCTGTAGGCTGCAGGTCCAGTCCTCTTGGATGAACAAAACTGTGTTATTAATTAAATGCCTGCTGCTCTTTAAGCATTTCTTCCTTTTTTCTCTCATTAAGGACTTGTACCAAAAGGAGTTGAAATTACAAGACCACCTCCTTTATCTAAAGCTGTTTTCTTTTTTTTCTTTCTCCCCCTGCCCCCCCCC